TTACAGCGTGCATTGTTAAAAGACCTTCACTAGCAATTGTATCGCTTCAGCAGCATCGCTGATCCGCACACCGAATTTAACAATTCAATAATTGCTAGGTTGGCCGCCAAGCAATTATCGGTTTTAACAATTTTGTTTAAGTACATTTATTTAAATACGTATCGATTGCAATAAGGCATAGGAGATTTATGGCTTACCGTTAATTACCGAAGCTGAAGAATATAGATAAGCTGATCATAATCTTTGAAATCCAATCGGGGTTACTTTTGTTTGTTTAGTTATGGCAACGCAACACTTGGACGATCTGCCTAGGAGGATGCCTTCCGGAAAGACTGTTTAAGAGTAAGGATGGGATTATGCATACTCGAGCGAACGAGAATATGTGGCAGAAGAAGAGGTGATGACGTTTCACTCTCTCTGTTTATTACGACCACACAGACGAGAGCGAGAAACGGAGAGCGAGAAACGGAGAGCGTGAAACGTCATCACCTCTTCTCGCTCGCGTCTGCATAATCGCACCCTAACTAGCCTCTATTCAGGCGTTACAGACGAGGAGAAAACCCGAAAACTTCAAAGTTTCGCCTTAGAGGACGAATCTTTGTCTTTTCAAGAAATGACTTGTTCCATTATTTCAAAACTGAATCACCGCATCATATAATTTCACCATGGTCACTATAGTTTCATGACGTTCCATTCGCCTAGTCGGGTAAACTTGGCAAAGTTTTTGTCTTTTAGTATTCGGTATATGTTTATCAATATTATGCACAAGGACAACGTGTCTCTTAAGGGTATTGAATAAATTGTGTATTTGTTCAATTATGCCAATGCATTAATTTCTTGGCCTACCAGTGGCCGAGCGGTTCTCCTTTTTGAATCTTGGAAGTTCGGTCGTGGGTTCGCACCTCGCCAGGACGGGCTGGCCATGCTGAATAATCCGTTGTGTGAATTTTGTTTTATAATATCTTTATTTAGATTGCAAAATATATTTGCGTACACCTTACCATTGTCTAAATAACACTGGGGAACAAAATAAAAGTTTTTTTTTTTTTGCACACAAATGAAAATGTCTGATCCTAATAGAATTTTTTATGATGTTTTCAAATATATAAACAGTTTTTCTCCATCAAGTCTGTTTTTTGTTTTTTTTTGTAATAGCCAGTTTAAATAATGTAAAATACTGTATATTTATTTAGACAACATACATATTTATTTATCTTGTCAAAAATGGCGAGATATTCAAGATGGCTTCTATGTTTGGCATTTGGAAAATCCCTCTTGAGTATCCAACAGCAATCGGCAAGCATTATCGAATTCCACTGGCCCTAATACCTCTTTTCCACTATAGCGACGTCTTGATGGAAACGCTCCCCATGTTCGTCACTGACAGCACCTAAATTGTCAGGGAAGAAATCCAAGAAATGCATTCTGAGGGACATATTACATCTCATATCTTTGTAAGATTGTAAGAGCCCATTCAAAATTGTGCAGTAATTTGGAGCTTTGTGATTATCCAAGAAATTTTGTGCAACATCTTTTAATAATTTCCATGCTGATTTTTCAACTGCGCTTAACAAGCTTTCAAATTTATCATCTTTAATGAAAGTCTTATTTGTGGACCCATGAAAATTCCAGCTTTTGATTTAGCATCACTTATACGAGGAAATTTTTCCTTTAAATAATGAAATCCAGCATTGTTTACATTCATTGCTTGACAAAGTTTTTGAAAAGTCCTAACTTTATACGAAGTGTAGGTAGAAGAATCAGGTCAGCATTGATTGATGGGGCATGAATGATATTTTTCTGGCCAGGAATAAACATTTCACGCTTTGGCCATTCCTTCTTGACGTAATGATTTTTCTTGTCTCTGCTGTTCCATTCACACAAGAAACAACAAAATTTAGTATAGCCATTAATAATGCAATGACTTTTAATCATAACATATGATCCAACTGTACTTGTGATAATGAATTTTTTCAAGTAAGAGTTTCATATTTTCATAGATTTCTTTCATTCAGTTGAATAAACTAATGGCACAAAAGGAAATTTGTTTCCATTATGGAAAAGCGCAGCCTTAAGACTAATCTTAGACGTATCAATGAAAAGTCTCCATTTTGTGGTATTATGTTTATGATCAAGTGCATCCATCACAGCACTGTATTATTATTGCAATAAATTAAATCATTTTCTTCAGAATGGTAAGTTCAGATGGTAACCACTCGACTCCCACGGCCGCTTTGGGAAATGATAAGGCAGCTAAATGACAAAAAATATTATTTTCATTCACAAATTAAGTACGCATTTACAAAACCGTAGCTTAGATTTATTATAGACAATAGAGGAATTACACCGACAAATTTTACAATGACAAACACGACATTAAAAACGAAAACAAAATATGAACCAACACAAGAACTGAAAGAATGACAGAAATTGGCACATCAACAAGACAAAACCCAAGAAACTATCGATTAAATTATTTCGCAGTAAATTTTCCGGTTTTTGCTGAAGTAAATTTTTCGATCACGTCACTGAAATTTGTTTGTTTAGCTAAATCATTTTCAATGCACAAAATTGCTTGGTTATTTAGTGGCTCCCGACCAGTTGAGTTTCTTTGCCACGTCTTCAGTGAATTTGCCAGTTTACTGAAAGACCTCTCGGCCGAAAAAACAGTTATTGGCACTGTACAAAACAACTTAATTAATTGCGAGACTAATATTGGCAAATAAATCCTGAAGATTTTTATCGTATTTCGCACTCAGAATTCCAATTGGGGGGTTTTTTACTGGTAATTTTTATACTTTTGTGATTGTTATATTAAGTTAATAATAATAGTAGCTTAGAATATTAATTAAACTATGTCAAGAATTAAATATTCCAATATTCCACAAGAAAATCCAAGCAAAGCGAAGAATACAAACTGACCATCTTCATTCCGGGCCCTCACGAACCCGGGCCCCCTGACTAGAGTCTGGTCAATCATTACCATGTGGGGACCATGTACATAAAAGATTTGCGAATAATCTTTTACTCTATGATATTCGAATTTGTTACGCACGTATTAATGTAATTGCACTACTAAAAAGTCCTANTCCGCGACGAAAACAATGTTGAGCAATGGCAATGTCGAATGGTGACACTCGGTAAGTAATCCTACAATTTTTTGTTTATAGCGTAGTTTATACGGATTATTCCCAAAAAATATATACGTATTTTGGAAATGTTGAGTCGGATTAGTCTAGAATCGATTAATTTTATGGAAGAAAATCTTTCAAACAGCCGTAGTCCGTAAACTTGACACGTGTCGGGTTGTGATTGGAAGGATTCGTAAGAAAGCGGATTCCTAGAGAATGGAACGTATGTCTATCTTATAGGGGGGGTCGACTGTATGTTCATAACAATAATACAATATATCTTATGATTCAATGTTTTGTAGAAAACAATCATTTCATATCCTTTTGTACATTAAAATCTTGCAAGATCTTTTCACATTAAATACTCTTTTTTTCTTTAATATACCACAAATCATATTTTTCTTGTTATAAAAAACTTAAGATTAAAGATGATTGCAGTTTATTATTGTAAAAAGCATATCTGAAAATTTTGTCTTGTTAACTTTAGCATGTTTATCTACTTAAAATATCTACATACAATGTAAAGAGATTAATTATTTTATATTTAATTATTACATATTAACACTTTTAGTTGCTCTTTTTATGTCCATGACATAAAAAGAATACAATACTTTGTTACCTAAGCAGGTTCATAGATTACAATCACAATTTATATATTTCTTCAACGTTATCTGGATTATATGAAAAAATCTCATAATCCTGTCATAGTATTTACTAAGTCTGATAAATTTAGAATATCTTTATTTCATTTTAAATTCAAATTGTTTATTTTAGAAGAATTTGATAGCATATGCATTTGAAAAAGCATGAAATGCATGTTGAAAACAAACTGCACAAGAACATTTGATAAAGGAGTTAGAATTAGTCTTTCAAAAGAAAGATGTGTTTTGTTTTAAGGGATATTAAACATTGAGTTTGAAGATCAAAGAGATTGATGAAACCCTAATTCCTGAAAGAGGTATTGCAAAGGTGCCCCATTGATCTACAATTAATTAGCCAGAGATCTACCAAATTATCAAGCTATAATAAGGCTAAGTTAATAATTAGATAAGAAGTAATTTGTCTAGACATAGGCAGTTAATCTGCCATATCATGATAATTTTAATAAATTAATTAAACTATCTATAACTGTAAGGCAGATAATAGTAAGGGCTTATCACACCAATGATAATGGGCACAAATGCTCAAGAATCAAAGTAAAAACATTTAATAAAACAAAAAGGGGTGTACAATAAGATGATTACATAAGTATAAAAACCGTAAAAATCCAAAATGCATTTCGGACTATTTTCCAATAGGAAAATAGTCCCTCATCAGTTGGTATTAATGAGAGGTCTTAGTATACTTAAAAATTATACAAGGAGAAAAAAATTAAATTTAAAATTAAACTTAAAACTATGCCTAAAGCTATACAATATAAAGATGAAAACAACACCATGACTGTATGAGCAGTAAGCATTGTCAATGTAGACAGGAGTAATATTTATTCCTAACTTTGCATGGTAACATGACGATCAGGGTGCTGATACAAAAATAGTTGAGAGTTAGCCAAAATATTGGTTAACAGTTATGAACTAATGTTACACAGTCAGTTTAAATTATTTAAATACCAAAAAACAGTAGGACAACAGAGTTGCAGGTTCAGGCATTTCTACAAGATGCAGGGAGCGGTTACNAAATTACTATTAAATTATTATGGTTTTAATGAGTTAACAATTGTATATTAAATATAATTACTTAATCAAATAAAATATAGATACAATGATAATATAACTTTCGAGAAAAATGTTCATACAATTCTTGATCACAGAACAAATACTTCACCTATAAATATGATTAAAAATTTAAACAAATATATTTTATACTAACTTGTTTTTTTCTTCTAGTTCCTTATTAACTTTTCGTTTAAATTTTGGTAATAATTGTTGCAAGAGTTCTTTCACTTCATTGCGATCTTTTAATTGATATTCCTGTCCTAATGGATTGGTAAAATGAAATGTAGTTGCACTTCCAGTATGCAATAATACTTGTAATTGAACTTTTGATTTCCCATCAGGAGAAATTTTCTGCACTAAATAAAAGACAAAAATTATTTTTTGAAATTATAAAAATAAACTAAAAATTTTCCAAAACTTACTTTTAATATCAGCATATTTTAAACTGACAGAAAAAGTATCTTTTCCTTCTAGCATCCAAGCAATCCTTTCTGCCATTAAATACAGAGTTCCATCATTTTTGTTATAGCGAACATGGTTAACCATTAAAAGAACATCTTCCGATGATGTACCCATAATTCCTTGAATTAAAAATGTATTCTTAATTTCTATGAAATCATAACAAAAATATATAACATGATATATCATCACATATTTAGTAAATTAAATCGCATCTTTATAATATACCTTTCCAATCAAACAAAACTTTATTGTCTTAAAGAAAAATATCATCTTTTTTTATGAAAGGAGAATAGAAGAGAAACAAAAAAACACAAATATAAGATCTACAGTATCTTACAATTTCATATGTAGAAGCAACAAAAACCTTTTGCACAGTAAAAAAATATGTAGAAAAAAATAAAATGTCTTCATTTTTCATCATATCCAATCACCAGTCTTCCATCGCAGAAAACTTTTTTATTAGAGGCCACACCTCTAATAAAAGGGTTTCTCTGCAATGATCTACACTAGATGAAAAAACTTTTATTTATACAATTTACTTTTCTGTTTTGGATCTACTTTATCCCAATTAACTTTCACAAAATCAATAACTTTACTATTTAATTTAAAATTTCTTTACAAATTTCAATGAAGTTATACAGATAAACGATTATAGCCACATTAACCTCATGAAAATATTCAATTAGTTTATTTTTCTCTAATACAGTAGTTTCAAATTTGAGTAAATTGTAAGTTTGTCATAATTTGTCATAACCTTCCTTGAACAGATAAAAAATATGAATTTTAGACAATTTGACAAATATTTTCTAAAAAAAAAATATTATATATTTGCACTAACAAATATCTGATTTTTGTTTAAACTAGCTAAATAAAAACTTTTTAACATTGTAAAGTAAATTATTGATCAAATAATTATTTTAGGATAATTTAAAATTATTATACAATTATAATGATGCTTTGATTATCTTGTTTTTCCAATATCTCTTGTCAATGATGTCTCAAATTTCACACAAATTAATTGGGGCAATAGAACTAATTTAACTCATTTCTTCCTAAAAATGATGGAAAAAAAATGAATCAATGGAAAAACTATATTTGTTTAAAACACTAGATAACTGCAACTAGATACCCAATTGTTCTTAATCTCTAGTATCTGCATTATTTGTTAACAGGAATTTAATTGCTATTTTTATAACACAGGAATAGACTGAATCTATTAATTTTAACCTTAATATATTCCTGGTACTGTACATAACATTTCTCTAAACACCAAATTGATGAAGTAAAAAAAATATGTAAACATATATGTAACAAAATTTTAAGACCAATTACTATTTGCCATTTTTTGTGTTATAAACATGCATTATTTTATTCTAATTGTATTTTAATTTCATTTAATGAAAAATCTTTTCTCACGATTTTATGACTTGATAGCAATTATTTGTAAAAAAATTACAGGTAAAATGTAAAAATAAAGTGGGATACAATTTTAAGACCATCCCTTTCTGGTTGCATTTTCCATTTAAATAACTCCTACAAGCACACCGGTTTGTATAAACGAAATTACGACTTACTTAAGACTGTAACCAATGCGAAATTGTAAAATATTAATGCACAAACGTTTTCGGAACACCTTCCGTGTTCTTCCTCAGGTTTTCAAACTGGATTAAGTCGTAATTTTGTTTTCCATTTAAATTATTTACTAACATGGTGGCTGCATGACTGGCAGTAAGTGCATGGTTATGTAAATTTTTATTGTTTACAACTTCCACAATTATTACAGTTTGATTAAGTATTGATCACAGGAAGAGGTACTGACTTGAATATCTATGAAAAATATCAAACTGATGTTCTGGCTAATCCCATTACACTATAGCAATGGAAATTAAGATGTCAAACTGCTGTGACTCAATATCTGCAATGAAAGACTAATTCCAAGAGTCCAAAGTGTAGACAAAAGCAGTCTTTCACAAAAAGACAAACTGACAGTTATCCAATCCACAGTGGTCCAAAAAAAGGCGTTCTCTTCAGATTAAAGCTGAATTGGGACTCAAGTCTCATTCTTGAACTGTCCTCCTATGTCTTTATCTTTAAATATTATAAAGAGGTAAATTTGGATGTAGGAGGTAATCTCCGAAACTACTCATCCGATTTCAAAAATTCTTTCGCCAATATTTAGAATGGAACTTTCAGGGTGGACATAAGCTGTATATTATTCTGTTAAACATTCATATAAATTAAAAGATATCATCTAGGATTAAGGCTTTTATGTCCAACAGATGGCGCTAACTCCACGATTACAATGACCTAAGTTTGCTTTTCTGTGAGGATGAACTAAAGCAGATCATCATCTATCTAGCTATATAAATAAAAATGTAATGCTTGTTTGATCCTACTGCTTCTTTTGAAATTTTGACACAACATTGCATTTGAATATGCATGTGTTTTTATGTAATACACATGTCAAAATTCCCACCACTGGGGGGGGGGAGATGGATAGGATTAAGGCTTACCGTGAAGAACTCTGCTTCTATTTTTACTATTTTAGATGCAGTTTTTTGCGTTTTTGATTGCATTTTAATACGGTACGTCAAGAGAATGTACACTAAGAAGGAATTTTTCAAAAAATTCCCTTCTCCCATGGGGGAAGTGTTATACATTTATAATAGATACATTTTGAGCCACAACAACATGTTTGGGTTTGCTAGTGTCTTTAATAAGCAGATTGTCTACAATTTGCAAAAAGAAAGGGCAAACCACCTTTGATGTCAAGACTTATGGAGCAGTGATTGGAGTTTATCAAGTGGCATATGGCCTGGGCTTAAAAATGATTATCAGTTATCTTCAGCAATGAAAAGAAGTTCAACCTGGAGAGACTGGATGGATATCAATGATATTGGATAAACACCATGGAAGAAGTGAAGACATACTTGAGGCAAAAACTTGGTGGTGGATCCATTATGATTTGGACTGCAATTACATGGAATGGAAAGTTTGACACTGTGATTGTTGCCTGAAGGCTGTAGACTATCAGTGGATGCTTCAAGAGTCTCTCCTCCAAGTTGCAGAGCGAGACAATAGATGGATTTTTCAACAAGATAATACATCTGTTCACTCAGCTAGAGCACCCAAAAATGATTTGTAGACTACAATGTTGACATTATTGCATAACCACCAATAATAAGTCTCAATCTTAATCTGATTGAAAACCTCTGGTCATAGCTCTCCAGGATAGTATGATGGTGACTGGCAATTTCAGACACCATTCACTCAAAATCACCATTAAGGATGCTTGGTTCAAATTGTGCAATCAGAAGTCCATTTCCTCAATGCAAGATAGAATATTTCAGTGTATTTTACAGAAGTGCAATAAAACTAAGTATTAAAATACAATTTTTTAAATAAAATTAATTAGAAAAGTTGAATAAAAAATTTAGTCTTATAATTTTGTCACTATATTTTTCATTTAAGTCTATTTCTTACATTATTATATGAATAAATAATTAATTTGTTTGCATAAAATTTTATTATGTTATAAGAAATTAAGTTTTTATAGTGAAACTAATTTGTGTTATGCAGGCTGCTGCTGGCTACCAAAATGTGGATGGTCTTAAAATTTTGTCACATAGTTTATATCCTATTGAATTCTTAATACAGTTGACCCCCCCTATAACACTAGATAATTTCGTTTTATATAAATTCCATGTTGTATGAGTCACTTAGATTTTACAAATACATGTGCCGGGCTGTGAACGGCTCACATATTTGTAAAATCTGAGTGACTCGTACAACATGGAATTCACATAAAACGGAATTATCAACAGTGTTATGGGGGTTCGACTGTAATCAAATTAAAAACTTTAAACTGACTGTATACATTTTTTATTTTTATTTGTTTAAACAGTCTAAGTATATTCACAATAATGTATTAAACTTTTTAAAACAATTATTATAATATTTTTGGAAAGATAGAGAACTTGACAATTTAATCTCTAAATATTTACTCTCTGAAACTACTTTTAATTGCTGTTGATTAATAACAAAAAAGATGATTAAACATATGAAACTGGTATAAACAATTTTATTGCATGTTTAGCCTATATATAATTTCTATGTACCCATCAATAAAGTAGTCATTAATTGAAAGTAACTACTTTCAATTAATGACTACTTTTTTGAAAGAAAATAATATAGATAATTTCTTTATATGATTAATATTTTTTTGATGATAATTACAGTTCTGTTAGTAATAAGTTTTATAGGTAAAAAGATGCTATTAATATAGGATCAATCATTTCAGGCAACATTGTTAATATTAAATCATTTAACTTTCAAATTTAAAACATGTGAACATAAGGTATTACTATATATAATTATTATTTTTTAAAAATATGTAAGTTTAGCTCTACACTCAATTTTATGCCAATTTCAGAGGCAAATGGTGGCACTAAATTGAAGATTTATAGTATTGACACACTATATATCTATATGCAATAAGCCTACATCTTAATATTGATAGTACACATCATTTGAAGAAAAAAAAAATGAAAATGATATGATTGCATACATGTACAATATTTAACATATCTTCACTTTCAAAAAACAAATGTATGTGTATTGTCTGATAACAAAACATTTTGGGTTCAAAATTTTAAGTTATAAATTTACTTTTTGTATTTTATTTAAAATATAATATTTTAATAATTACATACATTTATCTAATAATTTACTTATTCAAGTTTCATATTGTTTTCATATAATTTTAAAATTTAATTCTGTGTGTGGGGTCCACCTAGTTTGCTCTGGCTCCCCAAAAGTTGATTTTTTTGGCCTGTGACTCCCTTGAAATGTTCTGTGGTCAGTATACTAACAAACTACAGTATAAACCAGTGTTTCTCAACTGGCCACATGGCTCCTGTTGAGAAACACTGAATTTATACTGTAGTTCACTTAACTTAATTGATCCATACTAATTACTAAACCCAACGCATAGAAGATATCTTCATTCAGGTATAAATAAATTATCAACATTAAGGTCAAAACAATGAAAATTTAAAAAGTAAAAAAATATTACTTAAGTAAAAACTATAAAATAAAATCAGTTTATTTGTTAAGTTTACATGATACAGTAGCCCCTCATCATAATATATATGTTTGGAAATGAACCAAATGAGCAATATATCAGGCGGTGTAATACAATCAATGTATCTATCCACTTGTTTTGTTTATTTTCAGTCCTCCATGCCAATTTGCTTTGATGGGAATCGTTTTCATATGGTAATTTCAAAATCAATAAAATAATGTAATATTTCTTTGCCAGTAGAAATTCAATTAAAACCGCTTTTTTTTAAATTATTAGCTAAAATGCTTTTATATTTGGAAGAAAAAAGAAAGAATAATATACTGAGGTGCATACAATGAGAGGCTAACTGTAATATATTTTTTATTATGTTAATATTAATGTAACTTTAACATATATGAGAGAAATATTAGGAGTATAATCATCAAATAATTTCAGAAATAAATAAACTCTAGGTAGAAAAAATGTGTCTAAAAATTAATAATTATTTCATCATTCATTAAATATAAAATATAACTCAACAAAAATAAGTAAAGAATAATTATCTAATTTTACCATATGATATGTATCTTGATCAATGGATTACTTTGACAAATTTCTTTTCTGATACAGTTGCACAATTTCCTAGAAAGTTTTTCATAAATTCAGCCAAAATGTTATTCTAGTAGCCATAATCTTCAATAAGTTTTTTCCATTTGTTGATTTTTCTTTATTTTTTAATTTCATTAATAATTTACAAATTTCAATATGCAATAACTCATAAGTCAAAACTATAATTCATATATCATGTTGCATTTCAGTAAACAAACTAATTGCATAATTTGTATATACTGTTACTATAATATTTTCCAAATTCTGATTTAAAAGTAAGTATTATTATCTAAAACTTGTTCAAAAATTATAAATTTATTTCCATTAAACATCTTCAAATTTTCATGCGTCCTTCAAATTCAATTTGCAATAAAAACCTGCAAAGACAAAACAGATAAATCAATACTCTTAGAATGTCTACATATGAAAAAAATAAATTATAATCTGAATTATACACTAAACAACTCAAAATAAACTTCTGAATATTTTTGTAAACTATTTTTAAGGCTAAACTTTAATTAAATCAGGTGCTAAAATTTCAGTAAGATTATATTAAACTATAGTGTTGATAAATCACCAAACAATCACCTAAATATCTAATATTTGGTGATTTATTGTATACTACTTGGGCTTTGAGATGTTATTATTTATATAGTATTGTTTTACACGGGGGGTTACATAAAACAAAATTTTATGTAAATTTGTACTCCACAAAAATGGAGCACAAATTTTGCATTTTGATTTTATTTACTTACTTATATTCAAAGTTTTGTGCACTTAAAGCCTGCACTGTAATAGTTGAATTTTATGTGATAACAAATTATAAGCATATAGTTTATATAACACCATTCAGAAATATTT